AATACCCAGTTATATCTCTCTTTTAAACGGTTCTCTCCCTCCTCTGTTTCAGTGCAGTATACATTATTGAACCCATCTTACTCAGTCTCTCCCTAACCCCAAGGACAGTCCTATTCTACAACAGTGGCATCATGTAATCAAAATTGAGTACTTCTAAGCCTTATTGTCGGTTTGACGGTATGGTGCTTCATTTAATCTTATACCATTTTGATTTCAAATGATACTCATTTGATTTCATACCACGCTGTGTCACTAGGAAGTTGTTGAAAATGAAACCACAATTTTATCAGAGCAACAATTTCTTTTTAGTCAGAATAATATGATGGATAGGTTGCTGCTGCTGTTGTTGGTTGCTATTGAGTTGATGCCAATTTGTAGTGACTGTACAACAAACAAAACACTGACTTTGCAACTCTCACTGTGTTCTGGTAGTACTGTTAAATCTGTTGTGTCAAGCCATCTCATGCACTAATCTGTTTTCAGTCATGAAGGACATCATTTAATATAGATTAGTGACCTAGCTCTACAAAAATATAAATGGCTGATTCTTGGAAGAAATTGTTAAAAAGCACATTGCAAAAAGTAAATCACAACATTTCAGTAAATATAAACTAAAAAGTAAAGGAATGTGTGTTTATAGATAACAACCCTACTGGTTTTGTAGTTAAGTGTTTAGCTGCTATCCAAAACCAACATGTGTGTATTAGATAGGATTTAACCCTCTAGCCACTCCATAGGAGGTGGTTTTGACAGTTCTTTTTCTTTAAATGAAGTCTTAGAAACCAGGAGAGGCACATATACTTTGTCTTAGTCCTATACATCAGATTTGGCTGGAAGGCAGTCTGGATTTGGCTTGACTTTTTCATGTAGTTTATGGATACTTACAAATGTATGTAGTAACAGTAATTGTAAGGAAGTGTTATATACCAACTTCATATAAGTGAGTGAAGTCTGTAGAAAGTTTGAGAAGAATTGTAATCAGTTAAAAAATTGTCTTCAACAGTTCATTTATATTTTGATTCTTAGGTTCTGAAACAAATATGTTAATATATTAAATCCAGAAAGTGAGTAAGAAGATTTATGACTGGAAGAATTTTATTTTTAAAAATTTATCAAAATGTGAAACATGTAGATAGCTATTTAAAATTATATATCAATGTATAATTTTAAGCCTTATAGATTATAATAAAGTAAAAAAACCAGGTTCTGGCATATATTTCTGTTTTATTTTTATCATAATACTGATTGTTAAGTCTCATTGAGTCGAAACTAGCATGTTTCTATTTCCTTTTATTTTTAGTGTAATACTAGATTGTTATGTATATTTGTTATTTGACATGAAGTTGGAACCATCTCATGGCTGACCCTCGAGCAGATTTTCTGAGTCTGTAAATCACACTGGAGGAAATTGTTCATCTTTTTTCCTCACAGCATATAATGAATTCAGACCACATGCCTTTGAGTTGGCAGTGTAACTCTTCATTATTAGGCGATCAGAGCTCTTTTGTTGTTGTTGCACTGACTAAAATAGCTTTGTTTGTATGGTTTTAATAAATACTAATATAAGCACGAATGGCATCCACTTCCTAAACAACATGCCTCTGGAAACTGATAAATGACGATAGCTATAGAAAGCCTTTAGGCCTTTTGTTCATAGGGTTGCAGTGAGTTGTGCTTGACCCAGTGGCAATTAACAACAACAATACAACAGTGAAAAATGTGCAGTATATTTAGCTGTGGTAGCTAGGTTATAGGAGAATGAAGATGACAAATTATAGGCAATGAGCTTAATGGAATATATTTAGTTTTCAACCCTAATTACCAAATTAGTTCATGGGATGACAGTACCTTAATCTGCCATAATTGTTTGTTTTTTTTCTAGCGCTTTATTCAGTATTTGGCTTCAAGAAACACATTGTTTAACTTAAGCAATTTTTTGGATAAAAGTGGATTGCAAGGTAAGACAACTTATTAATCACAGAAAATCAAAGGGTAACCCCCATTATGATTTCTGCACAACTCAGTTCTGCCTTTTATAATATGTGTGTGGGGTTTGGGGAGGTTAATCGTAGAGTTGCACAATTTGATGGGTGGGGAGAGGGATAGATAAAAGAAATGGGAATGATCCAGTGTGAAAAACAGTGTATATGAACTTTCGTTTTATGTAAACCAGTACAAGATTAAAAAAAAAAGATTTTAAAAGATGTGTTTGTCGAAGTAACTCATAATTTAGTGAAGGTTATAGGAAAAAAGAAAGACATTGTCTTTTAATATGCTGAGATTTATTTCCCTGCTTGCACCCCCTGTTCTCTAAGAGATTGCTTAATACCTATGGGGAATTGGTTCCAGAACTTCCAGTAGATGGCAAATTCTGAAGATGCTCAAACATCTTTTATAAGATATAAATTTTCTATAATTGGCATATGGTCTATGTACATTTTCTCATATACTTCATGAGATTACTACTTATGCTGTAAAAGCTATGTAAGCTCCCTTTTAGCCATTGAGGGATTGCTTTGACAACTGTTTTTTAGGAGCCTCTTTTTTTTCTCCCTCTCCCTCCATCCTCAGTTGAACTAAGAGAATTCAAACCCTTGGAAATAGTGGGCAGACAGTATAGGGAAGTGGTTTGAGAGAATGGCCTCCACAGCAAACTCCCTAAATTTGAATCCCATTTCTACCACTTACCAGTTGATTGTGAGTTATCACTTTTCTTTGTAAAGTGGCAGTAATGATAGTACTGTACTTATGTGATCATCATGAAATTTGACCTATTTAATAGGTGAAAATGCTTTTAGAACAGTAGAGAAATAGGAAATGCTGTGTATCATATGTATATATGTAAACGTATGTAATGTTTTCATGATGTTGTTTTTATACTTTGTCAAAAAAGTGTAGTTGAAATAGTGTACTTTTTAGTAGATAATGATGAGTTCAATGTGATACTCAGAAGAATTTACTCATTGATATTCATGCCTATCATTTTATTTCTTTAGTTTTAATTTGGTAACTTGAAATTGCTATAACCAACCATTCTTAATGAGATCTGTTGTATTTCATTCAAGAAGTAGAATATTAGCATTGTACTTGTGTGGTTAAGTGCTGTCGAGTAGCAGGTGACTCATAGCGACCCCTATGAAGGAGAGTCCTCAACACTTGGGTGCCTTTCATCCTCTCTCCAGCTTCATAGGGTTTCTGGAGGCAAGCTCTTATGGTAATGGATGCCACTCCTCCTTCCAAAGCATTACACTAGACAGTAATTTTTGTAAGGTTTTAAATCAAAAGTTTAAAATTCAAAGTTTCTGAAAGTTTCATTAGATTTTGGTCCCATACAGTGTTAAATTTGAGATATGAAGTAGTGTAAAAGAACATATTTTTCTAATTCTTGATTAATAAATGATAGAAATGTAGATCAGAAGTAAAATAGAAAGATCAGTAAAATTGTAAAAGACTTCCTATTGTAACATGTATGACATATTTAGCTTATAAAAAAGTATCTTTAGAAGATACAATGATATTATTCATAGCTCTTTAATTTCTATTACTAAATTGAGTTGGTAATATCAAGACATGATAGCTATTGTTGAACAATGAATCAATTTTCTGAGCCAAATGGAATTGTAATAATTTATTGAAAATTTTTCTCATTCCTTACAGGCTATGATATGTCTACATTTATTAGGCGGTATAGTAGATACCTAAATGAGAAAGCTGTTTCATACAGACAAGTTGCATTTGATTTCACGAAAGTGAAAAGA